CTGAGAAGTTCAACAGTAATTGCCAAGAAAAATATTTTTCAATAAGCATCAGCAACGATACAGAAAGCGAAATGAAAAGAATTTAAAAATACATAAAAACAAAAGAAATAAAAACAATTGTTGCGAGAGGGCAACAAATAATAACACACCTGGAGATTACCCAAAGAACTCTTTAAGAAATTGACTCGCTCGCTCTCCCTCTCTGCCTCTCTCTCTCTCTCTCTCTCTCTCTCTCTCTCTCTCTCCCTCTCTGCCTCTCTCTCTCTATCTGTCCGAGTCTCTGTTTAATCCCAATAAAACTGGAATGCAGCAGCTAAACTTCCACTATTTCACAGCATTGTTGAAATTTTTTTTAATACCATTTGTTTATTTGCACAAATGCGTGAGCTTTCATTTCATTTTTCCGGCGAATTCCGTGCGGCCGTATTCATGTGAACGCTACAACCACCCACACCAACACACACTCCCCCACACACACACACACTCACACAATAATAATAATAATTGTGGCAGTATCTGGAAAAAGTAAAGAAAAATTAAACGAAAAAAGCGCAGCCTGTTGCTCGCTGTCGAACATATGTCTGCAATATGCAAAAGTAATGCACAAGCTCCGACAATGGCAAAACGCTCGTAACAAGCGTAAAGCAAGCCCCGTCTCAGGGCAGCTACTACTCCGACCGTCCCAAAAGGCCATGCCCATAGTGTATACATTGTTTTACATGAATTTTGACTTTGGCGCGCCGTGCGATGCCAATACACACATGGCTGAGTATGTGTGAGTGTGTGTATGTGTGTGTGTAAACATTGCGCAAAACCGAAAACAACAAAATTATTCATACGCCACGTTGTGCCGCACGGCAAAAGACGTCAGCGCGACGGCTGATTCAGACAGCGGCAGCAACGAAATTTGACTACAAAAATGGGCAAAATACAAAACAGAAACAGCAGCAGCAGCAGCAACGGCAGCCACCACATATATGTGCGTGTGTGTGTGTGTGAGCGTGTGGCTTTTTCGGCAATTTTGCGGCATGTTTTTCACACTTTGGCGCGCAGCTAGGCAAAAAACAATTGAACACGACGGCCTGGCTGCCATGGATATCATATTGTTGTTGTTGTTGCTGCTACTACTGCTACTGCCGCTGCTGCTGCTGCTGCTGTTGATGATGCAAGTGCAAATTTATTTGCCACTTTGAAGCGCGTCCAGCAGCAATTTCAAATATGTTTTGTTGACTGATCATCGATTGATTTGCATCGCTTTCAAGTTTAGGCTTGCCCACCAATTTAAGAGCTGAAGAATTTGACTTTGGCAATTGAAACACAAAAAGGAAACTAATCAGAATTTAAATGCTTGACTAAGGACATAAATTATTATAATTATTGAGCGGAATATGAATATTTTTGGTCATAAGCTAAGTAACTGAATCTTAATAAGCATAGGAAATTCTGCAGAGGTAAACAGATGTTAGCTTTATTATAATTGATAATCAAAATGAATTTACTTAACAAAATATTAATTAAAAAAATACCAAAAATACCAAATCGATAAAGAAAATTGTCTTTAATTTACATAGAATGTTATATATTTTTTTATATATTTTCTGTAAGTGAAATTAATTTTAAAATGAATAAAACTATTTAATTTACATTAAAAAGAAATGTTAATGCAAAATAGAGAAAGAAAACTAACCATAAATCAATAATTGTATTTATGTTAAGGTCTGTGGTTTAACCATGATTCAATACATTTATATACCCAGAACAGTTTCCAAATTAGAATTGAGATTGTAATTTTGTATAATTAAAATGAAGTAAAAATTAAAGCCAAGGCAATTGCATGATAAAAATCATAAATTATCAACCATTTAATGCATTAAATTTGATTAAATTCTGCATGCAGAAAATAAAGAAAACCTTCAAGTCTCAGAGTGAGTATCAAAACTCTGTATGCCTCCCAGGATATAATATGAATTAACGAAACTGCTTAACTGCTTAATGTACCAAATTCCAGTATATTCTGTAAAGCAAAAGAACAACAGTGACAACAAAGACGACAACGACAAAGACAACAGCAACGTAAACAACAACAAAACATTTTATCCCATTTCACTCATATCAAAATTGTCGAGCTGCCAAGCGACGTGCGGCTGGACAGGGAGCGTTGCGAGCGTTTGGGGGCAATCCTAAAAATAGCAGCACCAGCGACACTTACCTAAAGTGTTTAAGAGCACAAACAAACACACACGCACACACGTACACCCTTACAAACACACACACAGACACACTCGAATAAAAAACAACAACCAACACCTTATGTCCCACTCAACTGTAAAAATTACATTGAAAATGGCCATAAAAAAAAGCAGCAAATGCCACAAAAACAACGCGCAACGACTGCGGCCCTTTTTTGCTTATATTTCTCATTTGGCTTTCATTAAATTTGATTTTATTGTTGTTGTTGTTGATGTTGTTGTTGCTGTCGATTGTCGCACGGCAGCTAATTTTGAGTGCAGACTGCGCGCGCTTTGCATGTAAATAAAAACAAAAACAACAAAAATGATGAAGAAAATAAGCCATAAAAAAAGAAGGCAACGAAATGAAAATTTTCCGCTTAACATACATATAAATACACACACACAGACACGCATACATATGTAAAAGAGACACAAAACTGCAGTTAAATGCCACGCCCACACAGAGCAGCAGCAGCAGCAGCAGCAACGCCAAGCTAATCAAATTGTTATAGCTAAACCATATAAACTATAACAAATTCCATAGAAATCACAACAACAACAGCAAATATGAAAGAGTGTCAAGGCTTGATAGCATTTCTATCCATCTATCTATATATTGGCCTGGTCGACACTAAATGAGTTTTTCTTGCGGGTTATCCGATTATTTGTAAACACTGCTCATTGTTGTAAACAAGCCATTTATATGGCCTAATGTCTGTTGATCCTCAAAGCATGTTGCTGTTGTTGTTGTTGTTGTTGTTGTGCGTCTTGTTATTTTTTTGCTCGCCTTTTTCAATTGATTAATTCTGGGTATTACAATAATTTATTTATTTTTAAATGCGCTTAATTTCACATTTTGGGCACTGTGAATGAACAAATTGCCAAAGTTCTTGAATGGGAGCGAATAAACTAGTGTGTGAGAAAATTAGATAAAGGTAAAAGTAATTTGCTGGATATGAGATACATAAAGTAGTAAAACAAAGGCCAGAAGAGGGAAGAGAGAGGGCATTTAATGATTATGGACGCTATAGATATTGATCTTATTGCCCATCAATTCTTACTATAGATTAGGTTTGATAGATAAATACTTCTCTAGGGCTAGAGGTAGAGAGAGATTTTATATTTATATATGAGCGAGATAATATAGTGAATGTCTGATAGACATCCTTTATTTATAAGAATCTTTAGAAGAGTGGCATCTCTTATGAAGGAGACATGCCTACATATACACAAAGAATCATCACAGAAGGTGTTCTCTAGGTGAAGAATGGGACTTAGTCTAATACATGTACAGCAAAACCATATTGTTCGAGATATTAGAGTCTAGCATATTCTCTACGCCATATCAAAGTTGGCTTTAAAATCATTCATTCACATGCTAGCTATATATAATACGTTAACTACTCTAATATCTTCTTCTATTGTTTGCTTAAGCGAACAGCACTCAAAGATTATAAAGATTAGCCCTTGGCACATACCTTGCTCTGCGCATAGCTCGTCCTTTAGCTTAAATAATATATGTATGTATAATTTTTAATAATTAAATATTTTTAGTTGCTATTTATGCTGCACTTTTATACAAATATTCTATATGAAAATTGCAAATGAAATGCATTGGCCGACAAAATTTACATTGTTGCAATCATTTCTGACAGCTCGTTAGCTGGCAGAGGGCGAGCACAGTGGGTGGGCGTAACCTGGCGGCAGCTGTTATTAGGTGGGCGGCCAAGCAGCCAAAGCATCAACATTGAGCGACTCACAGAAGCAACCAGAAGCCCTAGCGAGACAGAGGCAGAGGTAGAGGCAGTGGGAGTAGCAAAGGCAGCAACGGCAACAACCTGCCTCATTTGTGGCAACACTTTTCTAATTAATGCAAGCAATAGAAAGAAGCTAAAGCTAAGAGCTAAAGAGCAAATTAAGCTAATCTAGCTATATTTTAGTTAAATCATAAATGCTTGAGTCACAGCGTCAATTGTTCTGGGTTTGTTTTTTTTTTTAACTATATTTCTAGACTTAAAGGTAATGTAATTAATTTTGCTCATATTGTTTTGACATTTCCGGCTATGGGAAAACATTTTTTTTTATGTTGAAAACGAAGAAAATATATATATATATTTTTGTATAAAAAAAATTGAAAAACTTTTTCCTTTTCATTTTACGGCTAATTTGTAGGCCCAAAGGCCGGTTAGCATGGCGCTGCGTGGCTGTCATGTATTTGAAAATTTTAAGTAGACACGTCAGCGGCTTTTTAGTGGCAACAGCGCAGGAAAACAAAGTGCCCCCGCCCTCCGATACACACACACACAAACACTCTGCAACAATTGCGGCCGTTCCTTATCCAACAAGAACTGAAAATTTGAAAATTAAAACAAACAAAACTAAGAGTCAAAACTTGGGGCCACAAAGCTAATGCCAGTCAAGACAATCAAGTGCCGACTAAGTGAGGGCAAGGCAGAGAGAGAGAGAACTAGGACTAGCATGAGTTAGCTATACAGCGAGTGAGCGACAGAGAGGGAGAGAGAGTGTGTGGCAAAGAGAGCGAGCGAATTACGCATAAATCTATCAATTGAAGCGAACGTGCAATCAAATCGAAAAGCCTTCGTCTAGTGTTCGCATTCGACTTCCAGTTAATTACCGAAGCGAAGAGCATTTGGGCTTGGGTTAGTGAACTCAGCGACCTGTGGCAAACTGCATAGGGGGCATGTGTATATACATATATAAGTGGTAGATCTTATACTAAGACTAGGCATATATAAATTCTAGGCATACCCTCACAATATTTGCAACATTTTGCTGGTGGCTCATCGTTGGTGGCATCGGCAATGATCGGCATGGTCCCCGGTCCCGTTGCCGGTCCACGCAGCGCTCCAATTTCCAACTTTGGCCAACTTTGAGGCGCTTGCAGCGGTCCACGTCGCGGTATCTATGTATGTGTGTGTTTGTGTTGGACTCGACGACCTCTCACCAACAACACAATGTCAGCTGGCACAACATTTGATATATAATAAACACACAGCACTCGCACAGACGCACTTACAGGGCACACTAACACACACACACACACAGCCAGAGAGCGATGCGAGCGCGAGAGAGAGGGAGATGCACACGCGACACGCGCCTGCAACGGCTTTGCTCGGAGTTTCTTTTCGTTGAATTGGGGGGGGAGGCGGCGCGGTAAGGCGTAATCTAGAAACCACCTGCCGGATCACAGCAAACGCCAGTTGCAATTTCTCAATTTTGAATTCTCGATTTTGTTGCTCCGTCGTTTTGCAAAATCTTTTCAACACTTTCGTTTATTTTGGTTTTGGAATGTTAACAGCATAGTTTCTGCACAGTTTTACGTTTTACGTTCTCACAGTGCGCTGGCCATTTGTTTGGGCGCGACAGTTAGTGAACAGGATCAGTGCGATTATTCTGGCGATTATCTAGATCTTGGCTGAACCGATCCGATCCGATATGATCTGATCTGATCTGAACTGGGTTCGCTTCGGTTTGCTACTGTCAGTGTCTGGTCTTGTCTGTTTGGGGACGTCACGCCGTGGCTATTTCTAGTCTTTGGCTTTCACATTGCGCTTTTCCGTGAAAATTGTACGAGACGTTCAAACGTGAAACCTCCGCAGAGACCACTGAGCAGGCGGCCAGGCGGCCAGGCCAGACCAAGGCGTGCAACGGATCGCCAGAGAATTCGAATTTAGAAATTTTACGACTGTGATGCTGCAGAGTTCCGCTCGGTCTCTCTCTCTCTCTCGATCTTCGAAATTTACGAAAATTCTCAGTCGCGCATCGACGGCAACTGTTAGATAATTTGGCGTCGGCGCGGCCAAAAAGTTTTTCACCATTTTCCTCAATGAAACAATGAACTTTCACATTTCGAACAGGCAAAGGCGCAGCTACAACAGCGGCTGCTGCCTTCGGCGTTCGCTCTCCGAATTTCGAAAACTCATTTCGAAAATAGCATACGGCACAGAGATCGGAGAGCGAGCGAGCACGCGCACCCATAGCACAACTCATTTTCGAAAAGTTTTCAAAAGTTTTTCTATTTTCCACGCTCTGCTCTATCGCTTGAGCACCCTACACATTGAGTTCGCGGCGCAGCATGCTGGACTTTGCATGTGTTTGGTCTGCTAAGTAGGTTTCTGGGTCAAGGTGTGAGCAATTAGCGAATTTACTTAGGCTAAATTGGGTTTTGGGCGGTACAGGAGGCAGTTGACATTTGAAACCTTGCGATTACTTTGCTTGCTCACCTGCATTGACGCAAGTTCACTCAAGGCAATGCCTCGAGTTTCCAATTGGAAAGTGCCCTAGCTTCAGCTAGCCAGCACTGGCAGCATATCTAGAAAGCACTGCACAGCACTGTGGCTATTGTCACCTCATATCAACATATTTTGATATAATTTAGAGCCAGAAAAAACTGGCAACGACTTTAATGTTCGTTCATGAGTATTAATATAAATAAGCATTATAATTTAATGAAATGAACGCGGCGAAACTTAACAGAGCTCTGTTACTTAACGAAATGCGAAACAGTTTGAAGATTTATAATAGTATGTATTAATTATTTGGCGACGGGCCAACGAATCTTAACTAGACAACAACTACAAGAGATGCTGCGAAAAAATCCTTGCTAAGCAACAACAAACGACCTTGAAAATAACAATAAAAAAAAAAAAAACAATAGAGATAAATAAATAAAAATAAAAACATTTAACGTTTCAACAACTTTCGCCACGAACTTAGCATAAAAACCAAAACGAAAATATTGAAAATTCGCTTTAGATGATTCGATATTGAAAAACACCTGCATGACTAATTGTAATCCCGCACATACACCTGTTCTACCCCGCTTGGCGAAGTAAATGGCATATTTAAATTTAGCTGCTAGCCAAAAAAATTAATTTAAATTTAGCATAAAATATGATTTCTAGACGAATCATTCTATGGCAATAGTATTCAATAAAATATGTGGAATATATATAAATATATAACCGTATATACACATACATATGTGTGTAAAATAGATGTCGAGCGCAGTGTTGGCAAAAATAAACCGCAATCAACCGAATTTCCCGCCCCGCACTCTCAAAAATAGCAACTAAAAATAAGAAAATTGACTCAGCTTTGGCTTTTAGTATTGTTGTTGCTATTGTTGCCCCCTGTTGTTGTTGTTGCCATTTAGCGACAACATTTTTGTGCACAAGAGGGAAAAAAGAAAAGAGAGCACAAAATCATATTTGAAATAATTTTTTTCAAATTTATTGCCAAATTGGGCACAATTCAAAAGACGAACGTCAACAACTGGGGCTCATGTCTGTCCCCCGGGTCCACAGCCCACAGCCCACAGCCCGTCGGCCGCTAATAGAAGTGGGCGTGTGCATAGACTTTAAGCCAATTGACTCATAATGCACATTTAGCCAAGAGCGCAAATAGTGTAGCCAACTATTCGGCGAACGGGACTCTTGTCATATAAACAATGTGCACATTATTCATAGGAAAATTGCAATTTCCACACATTCGGCTCCATTGCCCCAATGTCAGGGACGAAATAGCAAAGCAAACAGAACGAAAAGCTAAGGGAATTTATTGCACAATTTTTCACTGTGCGTGTGCGTGTGTGTGTTCGAGTGTGTATGTGTGTGTTGGTTCAAATTTATTGTGCACATGTTTGAAAACATAAAAATATATGCGCTATGACAATTTTGCAACCATAATAATTATTGTTGTTGCTTTAATAGAACATATTGCAAGTGGTAAGTGCAGGGTATATTGGCTTGAATATCAATTATGTAACATGCTGGAGAGAAGTAGCATATCTCTCTCTCTCTTTCTCTCTCTCTCTCTCTCTCTCTCTCTCTCTCTCTCTCTCTATCTGTCTCTTACTCTGTCTGTCCTCGTCTCGTTAAGTATACGAAGTTGAGATTATATTTCAATTGATCATACACTACATTTTGATTAGGTTTCTTTGAGATCATCAATAACTTTCCTATTTCATATTTGGTGAGTGATAGATCATTATCATACATAGCTGATAGTTAAGAAATAGATGACACTTCACATATATAACAAATAGTTAATAGCTTAGTTAAAAATGGTTCATATAGAAGTATCGACAGTTGTACTGTTTGAGAAGTTTTTCCATTCAAAACTAAAATTATTATCCATTAAAATATGTTGTTGCCATAGTTTAGGGTATTTGCTAGTCGAGCATTACCTAACTGCAAACACTCTTACTTGCTTTTGCTGCTGCTGTCAAGCACCTCGCTCAGGGTCAGCAAAATATTTGCAAATAGTTTTATGATTGCCGCTGCTGCTGCTTCTTCTTCTTTTATTGTTTTTGGCTTATGAATTATGAGTGGGCTGGCGCAGTTTGCGGCCCACTGTGCACGCAGCTTCGGCAATTCGTTTTGCCCAATATCTTAGTCGATTGCAGGCAAGGGAGACTATTTATTTATTTGCCTTCCAATTTTCTTTCGCATATAAATTATAAAGCTAGTAGCATAAAAAATATAAAAAAAAGAAGAGAAATATAAAATAGAAGAAATGATCGGACAGAGAAGCCAAAATCGAGCGCGTCAGCGTTTTCCTTTCTTTTTTCTCATTTTTATTCATTTTTTTTGGCGTGGGCGAAAGAAAATTGAAAAACATTTTTCACCATGCGAAAGTTTTCTCGTCTTTTTGACGTCGTTTATAATGACGAAACGAGCATTTAGCTTAGAAAAGCCATAAACAAACAGTAAATGCCAGTGCAAAGCAGAGAATTTTTCTAAATTTTTCGCTTCGAGCTGAAGCAAGAGCAGCAGCCGGAGAGATTTGCCAAAAATTTGAAAATAAACTTGCAGTTAACCAAAAGTATTTCAATATATTTATATTTACTTTCGTTTCAGTTAATTTATTGTATCTGAGGATATGCGGCCGCACTTCTGAGAACATAGAACTCGTTAAAGGAAACGTCTTTATAATGAAACTTAATTCTTGGGCAAGATTAATCGAATTCCTATTGAGTAGACTACTCTACTCTACATCTTTCTGAGGGAACTTTTATGTTTGTGTAGTATATTAGATTCTTCTGGTTTTAATCTAATAGTGGGCAGCATAGGGGAAGAGAAATCAGTAAATCAATTCTAATATACTATCAATTATATCATATGCACAGACTAAGTCTTTAATGAAAGAAGTCTCTATATCATATTGCCTTTATGCTCAGTAAAACATCTGTAGAAATAATGTGTCATAAGAACATAGTTTTTTATAGTCATAATGCAAACATTTTGCGTAAATGCAGCTATTGTTTATTTAGCTACTCTAAACTAATTTAATTCACCTGCAACTGCAAATAATTTCTAGGCTGAATATACAATCATTATTATTATCAGCTGGTTTAGCGGATTCTCTTAATGGCTCTAACAGAACTTAGAAAATGTCTAGCCTTTTGATAGGATAACGCGAATAGCAAATAAAAAATGTAAAAGTAAAATTCAAGAGCGATGTACAATTAAACTGGGTGACAGTTCTCAAATGTGATGGAAAATTTCAACTGCTGCTTCTGTGATTTCATAATCGGCGATAATTTATGTGATTACTTAAATGAGCAATGTTAGGCGCAAGCAAAGAAACAGAATAAAACTATGCCAAGAACAACTAATTGGTGCACACAAACAGACAAAAAAAAAAAACTAGAAGAGTATCGAAAAAGAAATATGAAGGCATAACACACTACTGGCCGTAAGTATGTGCACGCCTGTGAGTGGGTGTAACAGCTGCAACAGGTGCCAGCGAGGGTGGTGCGCCAACTTTCATCATCGACTGTGCGCTCAAACAACGCGAGAACACGCCACACACAAACTAGCCAACATTAACAGAAACACGACAACAGCTCATTAATTGTGACCAATAAAACTGGCGATGTGAGCCAAAGCTGTTAATTCATTTCGTGCGAATTATTTATTGTAAAGAAATCGAAAGACATTTATATACTGAACGAAATTTAACAAAAATTGTTACTTTTTAATTGAAACGATGCTTC